AACTATCCAACTGGCCGTTATCCATATTCTGTAGCTGTTGGTGATTTCAACAACGATACTCGACTAGATATTGTTGTTGCCAATTTAGATAGTAAAGATGTGAGTGTCCTTCTTGGATATGGGAATGGTTCTTTTGCACAACAAACAAACTATTCAGTTGGCTCTTCTCCACAATCTGTAGCTGTTGGTGATTTCAACAACGACACTCGACTAGATATCGTTGTCGCCAATCAGCTTAGCAGAGATGTGAGTGTCCTTCTTGGATATGGAAATGGTTCTTTTGCAAAAGAAACAAGATATTCAGTTGGCTATTCTCCACAATCTGTAGCTGTTGGTGATTTCAACAATGACACTCGACTAGATATTGTTGTTGCCAATTTAGATAGTAAAGATGTGAGTGTCCTTCTTGGATATGGGAATGGTTCTTTTGCACAACAAACAAACTATTCAGTTGGCTCTTCTCCACAATCTGTAGCTGTTGGCGATTTCAATAACGATACTCGACTAGATATCGTTATCACCAATTTGTATAGCAGTGATGTGAGTGTCCTTCTTGGATATGGGAATGGTTCTTTTACAAAACAAACAAGATATTCAGTTGGCTCTCATCCACAATCTGTAGCTGTTGGTGATTTTAACAACGACACCCGACTAGATATCGTTGTCGCCAATGAGTTTAGTAATGATGTGAGTGTCCTTCTTGGATATGGGAATGGTTCTTTTACAAAACAAACAAGATATTCAGTTGGCTCTTCTCCATATTCTGTAGCTGTTGGTGATTTCAACAATGACACTCGACCAGATATTGTTGTCACCAATTATAGAAGCAAAGATGTGAGTGTCCTTCTTGGATATGGAAATAGTTATTTTGGAAAAGAAACAAGATATTCAGTTGGCTCTTATCCATCATCTGTAGCTGTTGGTGATTTCAACAACGATACTCGACTAGATATCGTTGTCGCCAATTATTATAGCGATAATGTGAGTGTCCTGCTGCAATATAACAGAGGAGCGATAGCAAATAAAATGGCCTATGCATCTGGCGGTGGATCTAGCCTACAATGTGTAGTAATTGGTGATTTGAATAACGACACTAATATGGATATCGTCTTGGCTAATTACGGCACTAATAATATAGGTATCCTTTTGGGATATGGAAATGGCAATTTCGAAAATCAAATGATGCTTAGCACTGGCATAAATTCTCATCCGACTTCGATTGCTATTGGTGACTTCAATGGTGACAGTGTAGTAGACATCGCTGTGGCTAATTATGGTACAAAGCAAGTAGGTATGATGCTTGGATACGGGAACGCAACATTTACAAGTCAAACAAGTGAAGGAACTAGTTTTGATTCACGTCCGTTAGCTATGGCTTCGGGTGATTTTAATAATGACAAACGATCGGAAATCGCTATCATTTACGACAGAAGTGATAATGTGGATATCTTTGTTGCATATAATCGTGGTACTTTTGCAAAAGAAACACGATATTCAGTTGGCTCTACTCCACGATCTGTAGCTGTTGGTGATTTCAACAACGATACTCGACTAGATATCGTTGTCGCCAATTGGTGGAGCGATGATGTGAGTGTCCTTCTTGGATATGGGAATGGCTCTTTTTCAAAAGAAACAAGATATTCAACTGGCTTTCGGCCACAATTTGTAGCTGTTGGTGATTTCAATAACGACACTCGACTAGATATCGTTGTCGCCAATTATGGCGACGATGATGTGAGTGTGCTTCTTGGATATGGGAATGGTTCTTTTGCACAACAAACAAACTATTCAGTTGGCTCTTGGCCATATTCTGTAGCTGTTGGTGATTTCAACAATGACACTCGACTAGATATCGTTGTCGCCAATTGGGTTAGCAGTGATGTGAG